GACCAACACAAGGCCTCACAGGGCCCTTCTGACCAACACAAGGCCTCATAGGGCCCTTCCAGCCAACACGAGACCTCACAGGGCCCTTCCAAGAGTCTTCCTCTCATGGTGCAGGTACAATCTGTATCCTCCACTTGAGAAAGACTCACCTGCTTGCTGTCCTTTCCTGGAGCCCCTCTTGCTCCGATCGCTCTACCCCTCTGCTTCTGCTATTCATTTTACTAAAGGAACTGAATCCTGTCATCAGGCTCTACAGCTCAAGGACCACAGGCTACTTCCCACCAAGCCTAGCCTATGATGAGCTTCCCAATCTCAGCTAAATGCCCATAGCTGCCCATGCTTCCATTTCCACTGATTATCCTACACTGCAACCCCCTTAAATTCAAGTTTGGTGCCCACTTCTCCCATTTCACATTGATTATCCTATACTGTAACCCCCTTAAATGTAAGTTGGGTACATTGAACTCCTCTACACACTTGTCTTGATAAACTCCAGGTATAGACACATTCCTTAGGGCAGGAATGAGTCTAAACTTCTGTGTCTCCCTCACTCAGCCCAGTATGGGTCCCTGACTCCTATAGTTGACTACTGTTCTGTGCAGTAACATCTGTGAGAACATCTCCCTCAGTGCCCATAGTAAGGGCTCAGTCAGTGCAGATGAAAGAGCTCACTGGCCTTAACAAGGGCACAAACAAGTTCCCTGGGGGACAAGTGGGAGGCTGCTTTAGCAGGACCACAGTCTAGACAACAAAGGAAATGCCAGTGGGCACGAGTTAAGTTAGACACACAAAAACGATTCCAGAGTTGTTCTACCTCAATAGCTACGGAAGAGCCAAAGATAACAAATTTCAGAACCACCAAGTGAGAGCCAGGAGTTAAGCCAGATTCTAGACAACTAGTTTCAAACACAACCCCACCCATCCATGAGTCTTAAGGGTTAATTCTAATCAGAATCCACGAAGCAACATTAACCTCCTAAGGCCATACTCTAATACAGAACACATCATTCTTGAATTTTAGACTTTACTAATTATTTCCAAACTTCCAAATTAATAAGCATTAACCACTGACTTTCCAGGAAAGTCTCGTGTGAGTACTGAAAACCTCCTTTCCAACCTGCCATCCACAAATGATGTAGGGAAAGAACCAGCAGCCAAATAAATTCCAGGTTGCCAAGTCCCACCCTTCACTGTAAGATCTGGATTGTTACCTTTCTGACCCCTGGGGTCTGAATCCACTGGCAGTTTCTGGGTTATCAATCACAAGTAGCAGGTAGAAAAACCCGCACACTTTGCCATGTGCTTCTTAACTCCCTGAAGCACGAACTCTACTCGCTTCAAGTCAGTGAAATCACCTTCTGTATTTTCCTCACTTACAATTACAAGCTGATCATTGTACAAAGTTCTCCATGATGGATCCTTGGGAAAAGTACCGGGGCACAGGACACCAGCTCAAGAGAAGATGAATTTTCAGAAGCTGCACAGGCTTTCCTGAGCCAACCGACTCAAACCAAACAGTTCTTGGAAAGGAGAAAGGACACAACATACAAAAGAAACTCACAGTTCAAACAGGTGCTTGCCAACTTCTGCATCTACTGCACTGAGGGGATCGTCCAGGAGGTAGATGTCGGCGTCTTGATACACTGCTCTAAAAAATGCGTAAAGAGGTATCAGAAGGCCTCACACTTCTAGAAATCATATCTGTGTTCAACACCTTGGATGGTCATTCCAAGTGGCAATGGAACACTAGAAGGTAGGTGCCTCCCAGGGAACCCGGCCCACAGCAGGTGGATTCAGTGTTTACCCATCCTAGAGGCATGAAAGACACTGGCAGAGCGGCCGCTGAACTTGGACTTACCTTGCGAGGTTCACACGTGCCTTCTGCCCTCCACTCAGCGTGGTTCCCCTATCTCCTATCACCGTCAGATCCCCATCCTCCAGAAGCTGTAAGTCCTACGAGGGGAAAAATGGGGGAGAGGGGAAGGCTTAAAATGTGTTCTACTGTCACCCTAAATTTTGCTGTCAATTCTTCAAAATCATACATGGATTCAATCAACAGCAACGGGTGTATTTCCTGGTGACTAAATTTTAACAAAAAACAAAACTCTTGGGGTGTTTTTTCTATTTTAATGTTGTAGTTTTTCACAGCATTTATGTGCTTAACCATTTTAACAGATATTTATTGAGAAATGACTAAATATTTGTCAGGCCTTGTTCTGAACACAGAAATTTAGCAGTAAAGAAAGCAATGTTCCTGGAGTTTTCACAGTAGGACACTGGCCCCATGTGCCGGAGGTGGCAGGTTCAAACCTAGCCCCAGCCAAAAACTGCAAAAAAAAAAAAAAAAAAGCTACTACAAATGCAAATGGTAAATAAGTGCCAAGAAGAAAAAGGAACCTGAAAAGAAAAAGGAGGACGGAGAGTGAGGGAGACACAGTCCTTATCTGGGCTGGCAGCAAGGGGTCTTTTAAGCAGAGACCCGTTGGCAGGTGGAGTGCGAGGCACAGTCTGCGGAAACCAAGTTCCACAAAGATGAGTGAGGAAAAGCCCCGGGGCAGCCGCCTGACAAGGTGTCCGTGCAACAGCAGCAACGGCATTAACCTTCACCAGCACCGTCCACAGCAAAGGCCCTGTTACAGGTCAAGCTTCCATTGGTCAATGTTTTTCATTTGTTTCTATTCTGACAAATCTGGGGACAAAGGAAATGGCACTTGGGCATCTCCATGACAATCAAGTCCTTCCACCTGCCTAAGATCTCATTTTTTCACTTCTATAAAATATCTCAGAGAAACAACAATTATTAAACTCACAGGATGCTGAGAAATCTCAAGAAACAAGTGTGCAAACACCCTCTCACGGCAGAAAAAAGATATGAATTCATTGAAATTTACTATTGGTGACAGACACAAATTTTCTGACCCACCCAACAGTGAAATCCCACCCCCAGCATGAACCCTGTTAGCAAAGGACACCGCCAAAAGTTAAAAAGGAAGCGTATCTCCGCCGTGACTGCTCCCGGATAGCCCCCAGGGGCACCCACACAGAAACAGGGATCCCTCCACACTCAAAGCTGAACTGGATCGCATCAAATAAAAGGCAACAATTGCCCTGTTGAGAAAGTCAGTATTTCACATGATCTCGTTGTTGAGTTCAGAAGTTAATACTGTCTCTTGTTTTCAGTTTCCTTGAAACACAATGCACCATTTTAAGTTCCCAGCCTTTCACACACACACACACACACATACAGTGCACTTGGCGGCCAGTTCATCGCTGGCAGTCCTTTTAATGGATTCTGTCTAGGTTTTATGCCTTGATTTTACGTCATTTGTTTCCTTTCTCAAAATAGCACAGAGCTGGATGCACAGCCATCTTAGCCGTGTTCCAGAGACGGCATCCCCACTCCCACGCTCTTGCCAGTTAGGGAGTAGGAATGGGCTGAGTCTGGTGACAGTACTCCGAGTGCTGCGACTTTGAGCGTTGTTGACTCAGCAAACTATTTGTGGACACACCTCAGACAGGGAAAATGTTTCCAAGGATCTGAAGTAAAATCTGAGTCAGGCGAATTTCCTAGCCATCACTTCTTAGTTTGGTTAAAGGGAAAGCGTGAGGTGAGCAGAAATTATAAACGCTCCCAGCGAGAGGAAGGCATTTTCACTCATGTTAATCACAGGCCAGTAAAACTGGCCAATTAGCTCATCCACAAAGTGTTTTCACTGGGCAGCACCCACACAAACTGGGGGAAAACCAAGAAATGGTTACCAGGGTTTGACACATGGCACCAGAATCCCACTAGATGCCCATTAACACAAGGTGACCCTGAAGGTGACATACCATTGAGGAGACTGTTAGGCAGTTAAGGATGGCCGGGTCTGAGGCCCTGGCACAGAAGGACAGTTCTAGGGTCACAGAGCGTGGCCCTCACACCTCTTTGGCTACATCTTGGCTTCCATTTGGCACTGCCCTGCCGGGCGTGGCCTGTCAAACTGACCAATTTTCCAGACCTGGTTCAAACTCTGCCTCTTAAGACATCACTCCTGCATTTCCCCAGTCAAAAATCATTTCTCTTTCTACTCGGTTAAGGTTTTGTTTGTATTTCCCATGCAAGGCCCAGTTTATACTGCTTCATAAAATTCACGAGTGCCCAGATTATCTCCCCCTGGGTCAGCTCCTGGACGGCTGAACTATGTGCCAACCAGCACTCTAGACATCTGGAATTATCTCTAACCCTCACAATGACCTGCACGGCAAGTGCTGTCCCACCTCACAGATGAGGAAACTGAGCCTCAGTGAGGGTGTGGCACTGCTCACAGGACTCCCCGCCACCAAACGGAAGGATCTGGAATATGAACCAAGCTCACCTCAGTTCATAATCTGCTGCCCCAAGAGGTTGCTTAAAGATACACTTAAAACAAAGGCAACAGGAAAACAGCGGAGCACTTGAAGGCACTCGGGAGGCTGAGACGGGAGGATCACTCAAGCCCAAGGTTTGAGGTTGCTGTGAGCTATGGTGCCACAGCACTCTACTCAGGGTGAATAGAATAGACAGGGCTCTGTCTCAAAAAGATAAAATAAAATAAATTCATGGTCAAATGTCATCCTATAGAGCTGTCTGGTATGAGGTGGATAGTGCCACTGTCTCCATATCACAGATGAAGAAAATGAGTGTTTGTAAAGTTCAATTAGCTAAAGTGCCTCGCCCAGTTAAGAAGTCTGAGACTGCAGCCCAGGCTGGTGTGACTGCAGGCCTCACAGTCTGACCAGTCCCACTCACGGACCCGACGCTGCTGCTTCACTTCCTGAGGACGTCTGGAAACTCACGGCAACATCAACTGCAGAGAGTCTGTGATGGGCCTGGACTGATGCTGCTGGATAAACACAATCGCTGCTTCCCCTCTCGCTAGCTCATCTCCGAAGTGACCCAGCCCAGTGAACTTAGACATTTACTTCAATCTGACCTAGTACAAGATATCTAGTTGTTACCTATACATCGACCATGAAAAATTTTGCCTTTTCCTGTTTTCTTCTCCAGGATTAGGGGAAGTGGGGAAAGGAAAGACATGGGGCAACTCTAAGGAACAATCTATGTTTGATTTATCTGATCAATTTATTTAGAGCAGTGGTTCTCAACCTGTAGGCCGCGATCCCTTTGGAGGTGAATGACCCTTTCACAGGGGTCGCCTAAATACATCTTGCATATCAGATATTTACATTACGATTCATAACAGTAGCAAAATTACAGTTATGAAGTAGCAACAAAAATAATTTTATGGTTGGGGGTCACCACAACATGAGGAACTAAAGGTTGGCGGCATTGGGAAGGTTGTGAACCACTGATTTAGAGGAAAGGGCTACAACAGTGACAACTGCTGCTCTTTACCAAAAACCCAGCATGTCTACAATTCCGCAGTCATTGCCTGTAGTCCTTAGAATCACCTCATATCTTTTTAATAAGAAAGACGGAGGCAAATGCCTGCAGCTCCCAGTACGATTTCCGTCCAACAGCCAAGTCTTTTCACTACACAAGAAGCCTCTGTACCTACAGGTCAAAATAATTCTGGGAAGCACACACGGCCATCTGATACCACAGTTTTATGGCACAAGATGCCACTGACACATGGATTCAAAAAGAGCAGCAAAGCATCTGATTAAGTGTCTTCCTGGTTCTAAAAAGTCTTGCTAATCTCCTGCAAAACAGTCATAAATGGTTTTTCAAAACTGCAGCAAAACCTCTTGGAAACCATCTAAGCCAAGTATTCATTTTATAGCAGAAACATCCTGGGCCCAGAGAGCTAACATGACGTGTCCAAGGTGACAATAAGCAAATGACAAGCTAGACCAGGACTTCTGCTCTGTTTGACTTCTCCATCCTGGGGCCTACCATTCTGCCAAGGGAAGGAATACACACAGGGAAGGGAACGGTCTGTGATTACAAACATCAAAGAACAAAGCCAAAAAAATCACTGTGCAGCCAGCCCAGGGCCCCCCATTCCCACTGGAGTCAGCCCGCCATGCAGAAGCCCTGAGGTGGCTGGAACCCAAGTCGCTGTCCACACTGCTGACCCAACCCTCACAGGTGGCTGAGGAAGGTACAGAGTGGCAGCCACTGAACCCCTGCTCCCCTTCAGAGACTCTCAGATGTGGAGAGAATGGCGGGCCTGGGCTGACCTCAGAATCAGGAGTCCAACATGGGCACCAGAAGCTGACCCCGACTCAGCTAACAAGGAAATGTGTAAGCACTGGTGTTTTTTAAATTCGATCTTCATTGATCACCCAATTTTTAAAATACTTGTGCCTTGAAAACATCCTTAATTGGGAAGTGGTGCAGCAGAAGGGAAAATGGAATCTGGAGCCCGGCAGACATGGGTTTGAACTTGATCTGCAAAAGGCTGGGTCATTTCATCTCTTGACCCCTCCCCATCTCACCAACTATAAAATGATATAAACATTGGAGATACTAGAAATTGTAACAAAAGATTAAAAAGTCATAGACCTTCTGTGTGTATGTATGAGATTAACAGCCGGTGGAAGCTATTATCTAATCTACATTTTTGCTTTAGCCTTTTTCTTATATACTATGGATACTATTTAATACAAATCTAGCTCATTCCTGCTAACTTAATGCCATTTCCAAAAAACACATTAACGATTATCCGAGTGAAAGCAATAAAATCTCTTTAAACAAGCAATTTTTTTTTATCAACTTCCCCATAAAATGCTAATCACTGGATACAATCTATGATATTCAAGTCATTGTTTGTGCAAAAAATTACTCCTTTCTCCTTAAGCTGCCGGGAAGCCCTCAGCATCCCTACTTTGACATCGAGGGGCAGCCTTCTCCAAATAGTATAAAAGAACAGTCGGCTGTCCAGGCTGCGCTGAATAGACCCCAGGGAGAGCCCTTTAAAGCCATTATTTGGTGATCTTTTACGACCCAAAGAGGGTAACATATCTCTTCAGTTAATATCTACCTTTCTGCTAACTTACATTCTTATAGATAAGCTCAGTTTTTTTTTTTAACCAATCATCCAGCTACTTTATTAAAATCTCAACGTATAATTAAACATTTCATCTTCCCATTTCCTGCAAAACTCAAATGTCACTTTGGAAAACCATCTCTCTCCTAGTGGAATAAGGCGGTGTTATAAAGAAATGCTTCACCTTTCATTTTCCCTCAACAATAAACTGCAAGTCAAAATGGAAGCCGAGAAGGAAACTGATAGTCTGAAAAGGACCTAAGTAAGAAACGTCAGCCGGGCACCGGGAGCAGGTCTCATCTGCAGTCTGGTTCAGCCCGAGATGTCTCGGTGGGACTACTAAGGAACTGGGAACACTGAGTCCACAGCGGATGACAACAAGGAATTGCGGTCATTTGCTTAGGTGTGATGGATGGTGATGTTTTTTCAAAGAAGTTCTTAGCTTCTAGAAATAAATAATGCAATATTTATAGACAGGACTCAATACAGTCCAGGCTCTGCTTCAGAGGAATCTGGGTGTAGCTGGGGCTGGCCGACATCAGGGGGCAGATCTGGAGCGAGATTGGCCATAAGTCCACCATGGCCAAAGCTGAGCAATGGGTTCTGGAACTTTTGATGCACTGTCCTCAGCACTTTTGCAAGTTTTTTCAGTTGTCCGTTTAAAAATAAATGTCATCAGTGAATAACAGGTCACAAACCCAAACTCAACCCGCACAAAACCATCCTGTGACTATCATTATCACATGAGAATGAAAACAAGAGAGAATTTACCTGGAAGACTAAAGTATTCATGTTCAAAAATCTTTCACAATTTAAAAAACCATATAAAGCTTTTCATAAATGTAGTTTAAACGAACACTGCTGTTAATTTGAAATTCAAAAGTCATCACTCACCTTTTTCAGAGCACAAGCCTTTATGACTTTGTCGTATCGTTCCCTTTCATATTTCTTCCCAAATAAAATATTACTTCTCACAGTTCCTGAAAACACCCAGGGCTGCTGAGAAACATAGGCGATTCTTCCATGCACACTGACCAGCCCCTGACTCGGGGGCAGCTCCCCAAGCACGGCACTCAACAGGGATGACTGAAACAGATTGTACAAAGCATGTGTGCGCTGGACACTCGGGACAGCAAAGGCCGCTGCAATACAGCTTTGCCCGGCCCTGGCTGCATAAACACCATTCATCCTTTCATTCAAAATAAGATAAAGTACAGCTCTGAAAGCTGTAATAAAAAAAATGACAATAACAAATAACACTACTGGCCTATACCTAAACTAATGACGTATAAGGAATCTTAACAAAACGCAGTGCAACAATCTACTCTGTCTGAATGAGTTTCCCCCACATGAAATGGTTCTACTTATAAGCAACAAAGAGTAATTAACAATGGTCACAGCAACAGAGCAGCCCAGCATGATACAGTTTTCACGTAGCTGATAGTGAATGTAGTTGTGCTAGCATCCAAGTTTCCTTTACTTGACAAAGTACTTGGTTCCAGAAAAGGTATGCATAAATAATACATTCTGTGCACTAGGAAAGACTTTTATTTAAAGGACCCTGGGATCATGTTTCTGGAGAGCAAAATTTAACCATAAAGGAAATAATCACCCTATTGGTTATATATTACATACCGAGGTTTCTGTATCAGGTTGTTTAAGAAAGCATGAGACTAAGTGTGCCCGCACACTCTTCTGAAATTTTCTACCACAGACATAGTGAGGTGCCTGCGTCTACTGTTACCAATCTTACAACACTGAACTGAAATCATGTTTGCAGATCTCTCACCCCAGAAACCGGCAGCTTCTGGAAAGCAGTGGCATCTGGGTCTTCCTTACATTTTTATCTTTTGCCCCTACACAGGGCCTGGCTGCATATTTACTAAATGTGTGCTGATGTGACTTGGAGAAGTTATAGGCAGAAATGACCCTTCACAGGTTCAAGTGTCCTGCAGCACCTAGGGCCTCTTCTGATGAAAGAAGTCCCCACTTTCTCAGCCATCCTATCCTGAATATCTCTCATAGAAATAATTTCCTTCAGCGAGATGTACAACTTCCAGACAAGGAGTTCCCGACCGTGCAACCTTAAGTATGAAGGGAAATACAATTTGCACTACCCAGATTTATTTGGCCGGGACACCGTCTTGCAAAACTGATGTTTCATGGGACACAGTGAGAAATGCCTTTCCGGGCTTGCCCAAGCCAACACTGCGTTACATAGCTCTGGGCTCAACCCCAAGAATTTAATGTGGATTTGGTGCTGTAGCCAGCTGCCAAAGGCATTCTCATCACTTACCTTTCCTGCTCCCACAGGTCCAATCACTGCTAACAGTTCGCCAGGTCGGACAGTGAAAGAAAGGCCTTGTAGGGTTGGCGTTTCTGCCTCCTACAAATTAAAGTTATTAATATAAGTTTATAAAAATGTACACATTTCAATAAAGCAACACAAATCACTTTATAACTGGAGGACTGTAACAGTCATTGATATACAAACATAACCCAAATCTTTCTCCTTTTCATCCAATCATGGTTCTTTGCAGGGTCTGAAGCAAGTTGGTAATTTTACTATTTATGGAAGGCCCATTCCCTTCTCCCCAATTACTACGTGAACATAGCTAAAACATCCATAGAATTTAGGTAATAAAAACAACAAGACAACTTGCTTGAAATGACAGCTCCCTGGTTCACATCAACTTACTAAAACAATACTGTCAATATATTAATAATATTCATTAAGTTTTCATTATAACCCTTGGTTTTAATCTTCTATTTCATCAATCTCCACAAGGTGGCAGCATAAGTACATAGCATGCCCAGCCCTCAAACAACTTGGAAACCAACAATCTCTCCAATTTCTCTTGACAAAGAATAAATTTCAGTAATGCTCAGCAAGGAAAAATGGATGTCACTCTTGGCAAATGAACTACAAATGATGGTCGATTCTGTAAGTGTGGCTCTACACAAAAATAAGGAATAAAGAAATCAAGTGTAAAGTCATGGGTCAAAATCTCAGCATCACACCTACAGCACACAGAACCCTGGGTGAACAAGGACAACACGGCACTTCTCCCCTGAACACCATAGGTGTACACGCTGCAGCATACAACCCACCACAAGGACACAGAGGATAAGTCCTCATTATACACTATTAGAAATCACATTCCTGAACCATCGATATAAACTCTCAGATAAAGAGATTTAACAGTATATGGATGTGTTTGAATATATTAAAGTCAAGAAAACACTCAATAACTGCTGATGTTAAAAGTATGTTGTTGAATAGTTCCATTTATTCTTTTAGAGATAAAGAAAATTCACTTCTTCTTCGAAGAACTTCCAGGTATTAGAAAATCAGTTGAGAGGATTAAAGTGCATTGGGGGGAGAGGGGAGAATTTCACAGAGCAGGGTAAACAAAAATGAGGTTTCCTCTTCCCACTCGGTGACAATCAGTACTTTGGATTAACTATTCTTTTTTAATTTTTTGAGACCAATTCTTACTCTGTCACCCTGGGTAGAGTGCCAGGGCATTCATTAACTTAGCTCACAGCAACTCCAAACCCTTAGGCTCAGGAGATCCTCCTGCCTCAGGCTCCCAAGTAGCTGGGACTATAGGTACCTGCCACAACACACAGCTAGTTTTTCTATTTTTAGTAGAGCTAGGGTCTCACTCTTGCTCAGGGTGGTCTCTAACTCCTGAGCTCAAGCAATCCACCCATCTCAGCCTCTCAGAGTGCTAAGATTACAGATGTGAGCCATCCCACCCAGCCTGAATTAACTATCTTGGTATATAAAGAGAAGGAGGGCTTACAAGTTCACAAAATAAAACCTCAACAGTGATCATCACCTAAAAGAACTTTTGTCCCAACAAAGATATCAACACTATCATATACAAGTTGATAATAACTATTTAAAGTGAACAGACTTGCTATTTGGGGATTAATTCTTTCCTCTCATAGTTTGGATCTGAGAGGCTTGATCATGCATTCCTAATGGCAGAGGATCTGGCAAATTTATTTGAGCCCCTAACCCATTTCTAAAGGACACTTTTTAGAAGCTATTGGGTCTTCACAACATGCTTCGGGAAAGGCTCTTCAATAGCACTGAAAATGATCAAGAGTAAATCAAAGCAATACCACCTCCTAAACTCTAGAAAGGGATTCTGAATCTGCAGTCCCTCAAGGGCAGAGCACCTGTGGGAGGAGGAGGCAGGGATGAAGTCAACCCACAGACAATCTAACCCAGGCCACAAGCAGGTAGACCTTCAACTTTCTGGACACGCACCCAGAAACCTCTCTCCATATCTGGAGTGGGCATAAATGATTACTAATATGCCCAAAAGACACAGAGAAAGGAAAAAAGGTCTATCCTACCTATAAAATAAAAAAAAAAAATCTCTGGAAATAAGTGGATGGTCACATACAAAAACAATCACAATTATTTTTATAAGTGGTCACATATCAAAAAGTGTGTCTATATAAACTGACACCTTTAAATGCACATTAAAAAGTGATCGGCTCGGCGCCTATAGCTCAACCGGTTAAGGCGCCAGCCACGTACACCTAAGGTGGC